ATAATAATAATATAATAATATTATTATTATTATTATTATTATTATTATTATTATTATTATTATTATTATTATTATTATTATTATTATTATTATTATTATTATTATTATTATTATTATTATTATTATTAATTATTATTATTATTATTACTATCACTATAATAAATATTTTATTAATGTAACAGAGTATACTGCAACAATCTATGCCAATATGATAATTTTTGAACTAAATTGATAGTAATGAAGAAATGGTAGCAATAAAGGAATGGTAGGTACTTATTCTGTATATGTGTTTCATATATTCATGTACTTCGCATTTGTAGCCTAAATGGGTATCAATATTGATACTTTTAGTACAATATAACATACCATAAAGATACCGAAAATCTTGTTGTATCTAAATTGATACTAATAGGACTTAAGTACTAGTAACCTAATACTAATCTATAATGAATATTGATCCGTAATTATAATAATATGGTAGTGTGATAAGAATCATTATTCGAAAAAAAAAAGGAGGTGAATCGATAATTAAGATTACATCAAAATTTCAATGAATAAGAGAATTTTTATCTAACAGTCATTAAAAACAGTCATTTTTTTCCCAATCTTTTGAATTTTTGTCTTTTTTTTCATTATATTTGACATTTCTTAAAAATTTAACAGTGAAAAAGATAAAAATTATTATATAAGCTTGCATAATGGAATAGAAAATATTCCATAAAATTTCTCTTCCTTTTGTCATTTCTTTATGTCTACCCCATCATATACCGTATAGATAAGTGTCCTTGGACGGTGAAAGGGAGTGAGGAAGGGAGGGGGGGAGGGGGGTGTAAGGAATGGTAAGGAAAAAAAAAACCACATTCCATTCCCAATCATCATCAACATCACTAACACATCAAGTAAACAGCTTTAGTTACATTCCATCAGCAACGGTAATTTCAATCTTCCACATATAACCCATATCAGATCGATTCTGGATATTATAAAATGGTGATGTGTGTATTTTTTGGAATAATCACTTCATATTTATATATTATCTGGATATTTAATATTTAATCGAAATTTAATTTTATATAAAACTTCGTAAAAATTCCCTAGCCGAGATTGGTGTTGATTTTTAGTTTGGATCTAATTTGGAATTGTTTTCCTTCAGTTGGAAGAAATTATAAAAGTAAAGCAATATATGTGAATCTCTTCATATTTTTGCAATGTTTAACAGAGTTCGCAGTTCGCAGTGCTTCCTTCCTGAAAATATATGAAATCTTTGAACTAATCCTAATTGCAGATATGCATGATATGTTCTGCTTCCTTTTCTTCCTCTCTTTTCCTCTCTCTCTCTCTCTCTCTCTCTACCTTATGTTATCTTCTTACTCTAGTAAGGT